AAGATATTTTTAAATATGTTTTAACTAAAAATTATTAATATATTACTAAAATAACAATTAAAATTATAAATTTTTTAAAACGAAAAATAAGAAATTAATTTTCTTAACATAAAATAGAAATTAAATATTTTTCAAATACATGATGACTAATATAAAGATACTTTCATTATGTCTTATAATTACTTTTATATTTTATATGAAAATATCACCAGCTATACTTAATTATAAAATTAAAAAAACAAACTTTTTTGTACATCTTCTTTATAAATCATACTTTACTTATAGAAAAATAAGAGAAATTTTCAATTTATCAAAAAGTAAGTTTATAGTTACATAAATAAGACGACAAATATTATACATAAAAAAGCTTTGAATAAAATTATTTTTTTAAATTAAGAGGGGTTTGATGAATAAGCAAAAGGTTAGCAAACTTTTTTTAATATAAAAATTTAAGGAGTGTTGTTTAATCTATAGATAGAACAGAAATTAAATGTTTTAAGTTTAAAAAGAATGTTATGAAATTTTACAACACATACTGTTAATTCTCTAAAACATTTATTGTTGTTCTAGATTTATAAAATGAGGTTTCGGTATGTATGTAATGGTTTTAAAAGTAGCCATGATTCTTTAGTTTATAAGGCTTCAAATATTACAGGTTTAATAGAAAATGTGAACCCAGATTATTTTATTTAAAGTAATTTTACTTTAAGTGGTTATAAAAATATCAAAAATTTTCTTTGTATAGTAAAATATTCTTTTATTGATAAAGTAATGTATAATTTCTCAAAAATGAAATTTAGAGTCTAAAATGTTTTTGCTTTTATAAAAGGTAAATTTAAAAGATTTTTAACAAGAATTTGGAATACTGAAACCGATAAAAATTTAAGATGTTTAATATTTAAACGCATATAAACAATTTAATTTTAGATAATGATAGTAGTAAATAAATATCTTTTTTTAAGAAAATTATTTTTTAATTTTTTATGAAACTTCTCAATAGTAATTTTATCTCTTTTATTTTTTTGTTTATCTATTCTATATAAAAGTCGTATATTACTGTTTGGATTATAATTATTTATGAATTTTCACATACTAGTTAACATTTTTTGTTTTAATTCTGAATTTTGTTTAACGTTTTATAATTTTCTTATTATTTATAATTTTCATTG